AACTCAACCTTTTTCTTTTAAGATAAGACATAATTTAACATGCAACGGATTGATTATCATATCAAAACCGCGATTTCACTGTAGTTTTATTGTATTTGTTCTAAAGTTGTTAATTGTTCTATAACTAGATGTTGTTTTCTGATTGACTGATAAGTCACTCAACGTCGTCAGTTCGGCATAGTTTTACCGAAGTAATTGTCATTGTAATTGTAATCATAGCTAATGTTGGATATTTTTAATTTTTGTTTTGTTTTGCTTTAAACATTCAGTTCCACATCTTCATGACAGTAATGCTGATAATTACACTGTATTACTAAGTAAATGATCAGAATTTTATCTAATGTTCGTTTGTATTTGTTTAGCTTTGATTCTACTACTTCCAGGTGCCCCGTTATGTTGTACTGATTAGTTACCACATGCCACATATGTTACATATACTATGATTAGAATATTCATACGAAAGCTTTGCGTAACGTTCACTATTCTAGAATTCTCCTATCCATATTACGATTTTGGCATTTTATTCATAGATATAAGGTAACTTGGAAAATTTTAAACAATCGAACCGACATTGACTATCTTAATTTGGATCAGAACATGTTCAAATGCAAAGATCATAGGCCTCATTCAATTCAACTTGTTAAATTGGATTTAGCAATGATTTGCAACGAATTCAGTAAATTTGTCATAAAGCGAAAAAAAAGGCACTAGTTTTTCTAATATTTACTATAATTTACGAAAGTGTGTTTGTAAAATCTTGGTAAACACCACTGAGTATTGCGATTTCCACTTGACCTCGCCTGTTTATGAACAATTGAGATTTCATCTTATACGAACATGACGAGTTGGGATTCAAACATTATGGATTTATGACACATAACAACACTTTAGCAATCATATTCAACATTCTATTATGAGTCAAAGTAGACGAAACTTTAGAGATAGCTTTATATGCAGTAGAGAAATCGCAAAGCAACAACTCTGTTTGTAAATTAACATCCTATGATTTCGAATACCAAAAGATGGTTGTGTAGTGATGATCAAGGAGTTAGAGAACAATATGGTGGATGAAAACGATTTACAGGTCAGAAATATGAAAAATAATTTTCCACTTGACAGATGAGAAATGAAAAAACGTATATGTCTTGATAATTGAATAATAATCATGGAAAACTGTGAGAAGACAATAATAACTAATGACGGATTAAAATTACAAAATCATGAAAACAAAACAAGACTAAGACATACTGGAGAAAGGAGTAAGGGGCGAGGAAAGATGGGAGGTTAGATGTATCGTTTTAGCACGCAGAATTCGGGCTTGAAGTAGGGGAATCGCCAACTCCTCATCAGTGTGTAGTTTTTCAATCCACCATCCCTTTGATCAAATCCCATTGACTATACAGATTACTTTAAAGGGCAGAATTTTTCGGAGAAACGTGGCCAGAGTTGATAAAGTGCCCCGTACTGAGCTATAGAAAGCTTTCCACTTCCCTTTTAAAAGCTACGCCAAGTAATGCTCTGAGTCTCGACTTGTTATTTAAATTTATTCAGTTCGATATATCTACCGGTTGTTACTTAGCTTAAAGAAAATTTTTTCTCATTGATCATATCTTGATGCAAGTGTGTTAAATACGTCAGAAGTTGAGATTCATGAAATGCATTACTTATGTTATGATTAGTGATAGTATAGTTTTGTAAGCAAATCATTCGTGAATTGTGACTCAATAGCTCAGTTAGAATCCTCGGATGAGCTTGAACCTTGATACTAAATCTATATTAACGGGTAGATTGAATTGAGCTACAATATTATAAGACTATTGATTTAATTGTTTCACCCATCTTCTAATTTATTTGATTCAAATAAATGTTTTAAGATATTTATATGCAAACAGTTTGTTAGAAATGTACTCCATTAAAACATCACACAGTTCCGGTAAACTTCGTGTTCTGTGTCTTATAGCTGAATGATATATATTTCATAACTGTGCTAGTCCGCTTACACAGTGTTACAAAATCATTCAAGTACTATTGTGGTATGTGCTACTGATGTCAAAAGATATGAATAGTATGTATCATCAATCGAAGTGAAATACTTGGCAACAGAAAGTTAAGAAGATTGAAGGAAAATGAACGAGAGCAGTGAATGATCTCTGTGGAAATGAAGGGACAGTGAAGTCTGAGATGATTGATTGAGATTTTGCAAATAAAGTGTTTATTGTACGGATTTTAGATTTTACTAAGTTGTTCTGTAATTTTGTGTTCAAATACATCTACCTGTCCCTACTTGTGTTCTCGTTCATTACACTATAAACTTGTAAAATGCAACATAACCTAATTAAGAAATGTATTATGTTTAGCCCATATACCTTATTCTAGCTTTCGGATAGGCCAATCTACTCATTCTTGTTGAGCCATATTTTGACCTTGTTAATTATTCGCTTATCAACCTTGACTTTGCTTATATGAGCGTACGTGTGTGTACACTTCATATCCCATTACTCATCACATGTCTGTCATTGATTTTTGTGTGACTATAGATATTGATTAACGGTTGACTAACTGGGAGTTGAGCCACACGCCTTATCCACTGCATGCCGTTCCGCTCTACTCTTTTCTTTTTGTCTCGTTTCTCTGTTATTCGTTTGTCTGGATAAACAATTATACAAAATATGTGTATTCACAAGGCCATTCTCGTTATTTACTTAATTCCATTATTGACTAGTGCAATCTAAGTCAATTATTATATATGAGAATAGTCAGCATATATATTTCCACAGCAAACATTCGTACGATCTAATTGAAGTCAGTATTAGGGCCACTAAATCATGAATGCTTTTAATGTTACACGAACAAATTGAAATTGTTGTTAAATAATGAAATAGTTTTAGAATTCTATTTATATCCATTGTTGATGAATGAAAAAGAAGTAAGTTTTGGAAATCCCATATCGACTGCATTTTGAATTGATCCAGTTTGAAAATCTAATTAACAGTATTGAGATGTTTTCAAGTTCTACCCATATCATTTATTAATTGAAGGAGATAGACGCATCATAATGAAGAAAATATCAATGATAGAGAAATTTACAACCAATATGGTCTTAGGATTTCTGTTGATTACGTTAACTGGTTAATCTATTATTAATATGTGAGCATTCGACCATGTCGTTTCTAATACTGGAACTTATGACAATAATCGTATCATCCTGATTGTATTGTAATTATGAGATTTAAGTAGACAGTGATTAGTATCCACTGTAAACTGATATCAACCATCAGATCAGTGTAAACTGACAGATGTTTCAGTTTAATTATCAGTGAATGGAATCAGATTAGTAGAAGAAATAGGATAATGCACTTTCAAGCATTTAGCAATCAAACTGATCTGGAATACAGTTATCAATTACTTTATTGACGTATTCATAATTTGTCAATCAGCACAAAATATTATTGGGAGGATGAGGATTAATGTTAAGTAAACTGAAGTTGAGTGAAATATATTCGTTCAACGAGGTGGTCTTCACCAGATTAATCAATGTCTATTACTAGTTAGAAAACAGAATGCATTCTAAAACATGCATATTTCATTCTAACTGGTCAATACACAACATGAAGAAGTCACGGTTTGATTTGCTGCATGATTTATTTAAAAGTCCTGAAGTAACATTGAATGTATCTCTCCTTTGTTGTTCTCCGATTTGACTTGTTAGGGAACTCATGATAAACAACCTAATGATCATTCAGTTGAATAAACTAATATCTTTCAACTTGTTTCACACCACTCACTCCTCTCAATGAAAACTTGAACAAATCAATCTTATAACAAAATAATTGTATTCATTTAAGCAGAATAGTTAAGCGAACGTATCTTATTACTACATTTTGTTAGGAGATTAATGAAATGGAGTATAGGGTAAAGACAGAGGGAGAGAGAGTAAGAGAGGGGGAGAGGAGATAGGGAGATAAAATATGTGTGAATAATAATATTTTCATTTGTTAATAGAATTCTTGTTAAAGGAGGAAATGGCTTTTGTTCATTGTGAATCGAAACATGTCAAGAAATATATTTTGTGAAGCCGGAAATCGTTGACGTCTACAGAATAACTTCGTAATTGTTTGACGACTTTAATCCTATAAATACCCCCTGGTAAGCCTCAGTAAGAGCCGACGATAATTACTTGGTGTTGTATTCCATAAAGTTTGATCAATAAATACATTTGAAATTCCCCAACTATTATACTGAAATAAAATATATTTGAGAAATAAAATTTGTAAAATTACTTCCTTTTATCACGTTTGATCACTTGATGAGAACTTTATGAGGTTCAATTAATTTCTACTGATTCTGTTGCAGCGAATCAATTCATTTCTAGATTCACCATGAATCAACATTGACGATTGAACGTCGTTTCACAATGTTATGCGTCGATATAATGCACTGTATGTCGTAGATATGTGTATTTCTCTCAGTTTTTTGAGTTCGTACGTCACAGGATCGATGTTGTTCAGTGCACTACAGATCACATGATTTCAATGAGATTTTTATTTGAATAAATGAGAAAGTAGTCAACTCTCATCGGTTAAAATCTCAGACACGGTTTGCATCACGACGAGCATGTATTCCACGTCCATACTACACTATTTCTTACTAGTGATGGTTTATCAAACGCTTACTTACCACACTCAAGTGTTCTAAGCACTTGAAGAGTGCATCGTGTTCACGATCACCTGTTAGACGTGTAACATTTGATATGAGTTCATGCATTGAACTTCAAATACTAGTTCATCATGTTAAAGCTGATTGGTTCAGTCACAGTTACTGATGCAACACACCCTGATCAAGCTAATCAATTTCTATTTAACACTGATTAAATGTATTTACCATTGTAAAACTCTTGACACAACTTGTTTTAAGAAAAACTCGACTAAGTGAGAATTGTCATTGTTTTCGGAAGCATTTTGAAATTTGGTGAATCAATAAAGTGTGAGACTGCAAATGTGATGTATGCATCCTTAGATATGAATCTAGAAGTTTTTCGAGAAGCATTTGGTTGAAGCAATAATTTTCAGTATTATTCAGCACTATTGTTCATACAGATTTCCATGGGTTATAGATTAACACAGAAAAATAATTTTCAATATAAAGCAAATAAGTTTACTGTGGAATGTAAATCATTCATTATATTTGGCTTGTGAAGATAGTTGAACTCGATCAAAATCACGAATTGATACAATTCAGACAACTAATGAGTATTTGACAGCACTGGACTGTTATTTCGTCGAAATATGGAACTCTTCAATGAGAATGCCTAATTATTGAGTTTTATTTGTTTCTGTTTTGTTGTTGGTACTCATGTAATACAGTTGAAGATTTCCGTATAAGTTTGTAGATTGATTGAAATGAGACTTGTATTTCCTCGGATCCGGTCACATACGTCTAGATTTTAAAGGTTTATGCGTGATATCGAAATATCTGTATTCTACTACCGACTCTCAGATTCATACTGATGAGGGGTCAGTCCCATAATTGGACAGAATGATAATCTATTGCTCTTAGTTTTCCAAGAGTTGCCTTATTTCAGTCCATTCGTCATTTAGAAGAAATATATCAATGTTGAACATGCAGTAAAGTGACAATAATTAGAATAAATTATCATCCAATAAATATTATTCACACTTACATCTATGCAATCAACCAAAGTTTTTCGTGTTATTTTATAAAACTCTTTCATGATATTTTTCAAATCAATTTCACAACGACTGACAATAATACGTATAAGTGCTTTATCAGCTGTTTCAGCACATTGCATGGCTTTTAATAATTTTTCTGCAAAATATCGTGGTTTATTTTGTATACAACGAACTGAAATCCAATTCAATGAATGTGAATGAAATAAATAAAATAGAGAAAATTTAATGGTCATTATTATTTTAATTTTCGAATGTATTTTGTTATCTGAATTATGAACATTAAACCATTTTCTGTTACTGAGTGATACATCATTTTCATTAAAAACATCTAACTTTTCCCAATAGGTATAAACTGTCCCATATACTCACTGCCTTCTCGCGGCGGGGGTGTTGTTTACGAAATTGAGAGGACGAAAAGTGAATGTTGGGTATTTAGCGAATACACGAGCCAGACGTAGTGACCAGTGTGCTGTTCACGGTGTCAGCACGCATGTTATTACTCCGACGTCATTGTCACTGTGAACACGTCCACCAGATACCCACAAATGCCCTGGTACTGCCGAAAATGATGAGAGTCAGCTCTCTCTCTCGAAATGCTCTCACATGACCACGTGCATACGACTACTGCCAGGCAAATCCTACTCACTGCATTCTCGCGGCGGGAGTGCTGTTTACGAAATTGAGAGGACGAAAAGTGAATGTTGGGCGATTTAACCGGGTTGGTGAACACAGAGAGTTTACCTAAGGGAGTTGAAAAACCATGATTCCAAACCAATTGTACACGTGGGCTTCAGGATCCTGAAGGAACAAATGGCGTATGAAGATGTAGTTGGTCACCGGCTACTATGCGACTGCATCCTTACGTTGCTCCACTGTCTTGTAGATTAGACTTTCAGGTCAAAGTCTCGGGATGTGGCCTCATAAGAAAACCATGTGCTGCGGTTTGGGCACCCGGGCAGTATTCCAGCCCTTGCACAAATTGAATTATTTATGTAGCGCATATCCATTTGGTGGTGCTTCCTTATAACAATGTCTATGTGTTTAAATAAATAAGTAAATAATAGTTTACTGATCGATCATGTACGTGTCCATCCACAACAAATCTCAATCCAAGTTACTACATGAATTAATTAATCCTATCGGATCATAAATTCTGTTTTTCAGTCAATAAGCGTGAATCATTCAACTATTCACTCATTTGAATTTGAATTTATATAAACATATGCAAACATTATTGTAGTGTATAGCAAAATAAAGTAGAGATTTATGTTCTGGAGAGTATCCTCATTGTAGGACAGGAACATGGTGACTTCACTAAAATAAGTCAATTACCTAGTTATCATGCTTTGAATAGACAAATTAAATAGAGTGATAAGATAGTCGGGGATAGTCTACTAAGTAATCTGGATCTAGATTTCTTTGTCACCATAGTTTGTTTGGAAGGCGTACCTGAAATCTTGATGGGACCTCAAAGCATGGAGGATTCGAACCCGTCTCTGGGGCGTTACCAACGAGTTATTTGGGTCGCGAATAATATAATCACAGTAATTAATAACTGAATGATGAACAGTATCATTTTATCCAGCTCTAATTGCTGATTGCTAGCCTTGCTGATGAGTGAGTATCAACTAGCACGAAACCTAGTCCCAGGGTTCCACACTGACTACTTATAAACAAACTACATCGAAACGCAGTGCATACACTCTTTGAGTTACTTAAACTAATACAAATAGAACATGGGCGACAGTAACGACCAAACTAGCATGACACTGGACAGCAAACTCTGACCAATCAATACAGGGATTATAGTTGTTCACTACCAATCAGATATTAATTGGAATACAACTTCTATTTAATTCCCAAGTGATTACATAATGCATTAACTAACCCCAAATTAAATTAACTCAAGTCATAATTATTAATCGGACACGCAATCTCTCGAAAAGAAATGTTTAACATTACTTACCCATAGAAAGTAGAGCACTGAGTGTATTTCCACGCATTCTGAACTTTAAAGTATCTTCCATAGTATGCTTACTAATTCGTATATATTCACTGAATACAACTCGTAAGTGAGCATAAGATCTTGAAGCCAATATAAGAATGAATCTAATATGTACAGGTATGTTTAAAGAAAAAAGAAGGATTATGTCTAACAGTTTGCTGAAAGACTGAGCTGTATGTTGCATCAAACTGATTCTTATTTGTTGGACCATTGCATCCATTTAATCAGATAATTTTTAACAGATGTCATTTTCAGATAATGGGACAAATATGTCGATAAAAAGTATGTAATATGACCAACCTATATTACACTTTATGGTACTGAGTTCTAACCGTCTACCTGCTTGTTCAGATGGTTTTGATTCAAGCAAACACATTTCAATCATTCATGAAGTTTGTTCTCCAATATTCAATCATTTTGTTCAAATTCACACCAATTACTCTATAATCACAGATAATATTCGACAGTGATAATGGTTTGAAACATTTTTAATTAAACAACATCATAGTCACTTAAAACAGAATTCGATTTACAATTGTGACAAATTCGAATACAAGGATGGATTCTGTAATAAAATTTATATCTTTCAGCGACTTCGTTGAGTAAATTTAAACATATCTTGCTCACTTGTTGTCATCTTAATGTACTCAGCATAAGAGATATTAAAGTGAAGATGTTTAGTAATCCATCGTAACAATAAGGGTAAGTTAATTTCAGAATTAGGTGACTAGAGGTCTTCTTTGTTAGGAGAGTACATGATATGATTTAACATAAATATAAACAATATAAAAACTTGGCTTGATTACGTACAGATCTAAATGGTTCCATTTCATGCTGGAATACTTGCTTACTTATTTACTTACGCCTGTTACTCCCAATGGGGGGCATATGCCGTCAACCAGCATTCTCCAACCCACTCTGTACTGGGACTTCCTTCCTAGTTCTATCCAATTCTTGTTCATTCTTACCATGTCTGTCTCCATTTCTCGGTGCGAAGTGTTCTTTGGTCTTCCTCTTCTCCTTTAGCCTAGAGGACTAAATGTAAGGTCTTGCGTTGTGACACAGTTCGGTGCTTTCCTCAATTTGTGTCCTATCCACTTCCAGTACTTCTTCCTGATTTCTTCCTCCCCTGAGATCTGGTTTGTTCTCTCACACAGTAGGTTGTTGCTGATAGTGTCTGGCCAACGGATCCGAATTATTTTGCGTAGACAACTGTCAATAAACACCTGTATTTTCTGGATGATGGCTTTCGCAGTTCTTTGAGTTTCCGCTCAATACAGTAGAACTGTCTTGACATTTGTATAGAAAATTCTGAACTTGGTGTTGGTTGACAGTTGCTTTGAATTCCAGACGTCATTCAGTTGTAAATATGCTGCTCTTGCTTTGCCGATCCGCTCCAGGAGGAGTTTCATATTAGAATAGTTAGAGAAAACCAAATCACTGATACCATTTGTAAAAAGAGAGATAATGTTTCTATTTGCACGATTATTAATAACTTTAAATCACATCATGATGATTACATTTGAGCTCTATTAGTCTTTCTCTTTAAACTATCACCATGCCAATTTAAAGATCTGTTTATGTTATAGTTGGATCATGTGTAACACAAGTTCCAAATATGTCAATCAATGCATGTTCACAACTTCATTAATCAGCTTATCATCTCTGATTGAAACTATTTACCTACCATTAGCATCATTCAGTGAATGAAGCATTTATAATCAAATACAGTCTGATGACAAATTAGTACTTCATAGTTGAATCCTCTCTCAATATATAATCTCTTATAAAACTGTAAATATTGAGTTTTCAAGTCAAAATCCAATTAATTAATTAACAGCTATGTAAGATTTTCATAAACCAACTAGTATATGTTGAATAAACAACACACTTACTTTGATTCATCTATTCTAATGTTTTGTTGTATTATATTAAATAATTCTTCCACATCTCTTTGTACAAGATTTCTATCTACAAATGTAAATTCATCTCTATCCGCCTTTAATAGAGTCATGAATATGCGTTTGAATTGATGTGTAATCTGATTGTTTACATCATTCACCAAATCACAACCATCGAATACTGAAATTTTAATGAATAAACATTTATTTATTTATTTATATCAGAAGAATTGTTGTGAATATTATAGTAATTTTAATAGTTGAGATCATGAGTCAATTGAAGCTAGACCACCATGGAAAACCTGGAAGCACTGGACAGTCGTGTCGATCAATTTCGTGAATTAGTTGAAGTTAGACATTGACATCGTTGAACCCCGGCTAGCTCAGCGGTCTAGAGGTTAGGAGTTCGTGCGCGATACTGATAAGTCGTGGGTTCGAGTCTCCCGAGGCAGAATCTTAGATGAGCACGGCATAACAGTTCATCTCGAAGTTCTCACAAATTTCAAACAGTTGAAATGAATCACAGTGAATCTTCCTCATAATTAATCACCATATTCAGTAATTGATGACAATCTTAATTTTGAGAATAAATACAAAATATATTTGATGATTTTATAAACTAATAACTTACATTTTGGATAAATATCCTTAATTCTTCTGATTTGTTCATTTGATCTTGTACAAAGAATTTCAATTATTGTATCTTCATCAGTATCAGTTCCTCTCATTGCTCTATGAAGTTCTATTGCATCAAATTCTGCTGGTGTATAGCACAACGCAATCAAACAATCTTTTAAACATCCAGTTAATTTAGAATTAAATATGGCGAATAAATTGTCCTTATACAGAGATTTATATTTTTTTAGAATCGCTATACGTTGAACAACAGGTCGACGACCCATTACTTCAACGATTTCTTTTTCTCTTATCTTTAATCTATCCAGAGCACTCACTAAACGTTCACAGTCATGTTCAACACAGAAATTTTCTTTAGGTGTTAATGTTGGTTTCATCTAACATTAGAAGAATGGATATTTACAAGTAAGTAAATTGTAGAATCTAGTTAAAAGGCAGAATAATAAATAAGAACTTTCGTCTAAATTTGAACCAATAGTTTCACAATATTTGTTCGCCGAGTTAATGTGAGTCATTAAAGAGGAATAATATATATTTGTAAAATCTCAGCGGAAGAATTTCAATTAAATCCAACGTTTCGCCTGGCAATCTGGTCCAATCTTTTTCAAGGAAAATGGTTTTGTGGTTTAATTTATAATTTGTATTCGTCGAGCTACCATTGAAAACCTGGAGAACAGAAGGTTCGTACTGTTCAGCAATCCCAAATTAGGATGCTCTTTTTTCAATGGTATCCCAACCGAGATCAACATTGATGAATACAACCTTAATAGTATCGATTCGTTCCACTAAAATTTTTTACATTTGCAACTATTGTTTATTTAATATTTGCTACTCACTTGAGTTAATGACCAACAAATTTCAATGAAGCAGATATAAAGTAGAGGCAATGACAACAGTAGCATATGGATATGATAATCTATTTTTTTTAACCTTGGATTTTACAAGATTTGTCAGTGAATGTACCATGTTTAATATACTCAAACGATCTTGGGATTTAGAATCGTTTGCTTTTGCTTTTGTTCCTCACATGTACAGTATACAAATGTGAGTATAAACTCAAATTCAACACACTAGTCAAGTGGAACTGAATAAAATAATCATCTCAAAAACTCTTGTTCACATAATAATAATCTGTTACAGACCTTCTCTCACTTCTGAGATGTACAAATGGCAATGATTTTAAAATACACAAAAAGTGACGAGATGGATAGATAATATGAAGAAATGTGTCTTTTAATGTTACTTCCATGTTAACAACTACACAACTACATAATAGTTGAGGTAAACTTTTGACAATCATATAATACAAACAATCTTCTTCACATTCACAATAAATAACCCAACAATATAAATTAGTGGTAATTTCGATAGCCTACAATATCCAATCTAGATAATTCAGGTGATCTCAGTCGACTGATCGTAATTAGAATTGGTGTTTGTACTAACCGATGATTCATTTGTACTTGATTGCGCGCTCGTTACGAATTACTAATGTAATACATACAGTTATGCTCATCTGGTTCCACCTGTCTTAAATTGCACTATTTCGCGAATTCCTAGTTAGAAAATCAATTCGAATGCTTCTAATTATCTATCACATTAGAACAGCTGTGATTAATATCGCATTATGTGATAAAAATAAATTCGAAACTACTCTGTAAACACATGTGACGACTATCTGACAACTCAGCATTACTCAACAGCAGTCTAGTATATTTGCAACGACATGCCTATATTGAAGAATTTATACAAAATTAATAAATAGACTGAAACACCTACCAACATTTGTCTGAGTTATGATAATTTACTGCTTTAATTGAAGAAAAAACACGCCGAATTCTTCAAACTACATCAAGTAAGAAATGAAAAATCGACTGGAAATATGGTCAAGTATTATGGGAGCTTTGTGTTGTACATTACGTCTGTTCATAAAAATAACTCCCACAATGACGTTCGTATTTTCAGATTATCTAAGTCGACCAATTGCTCACTCGACCAATCCACTCACTTAAATAAAATCTCAACAAATTAAAAGATATGGGAAAGAAGGCCATGAAATTCATGAAATCCACCAACGTTCACAAATCGATAGGCCATGAAGTCATGAAGAGGAAAGTAGTGGAAATATTTGTAACCTATACACCACACAAGTAAAATAAATTCGGATTGTGACTCAAAAGTTATGTGCACAGTTAATTCATTGAACAGTCAATGAAAATGACTTGAGAGCTGTTCGAACGAAACTAATTATTCAACTAATAACAATGACAATATTAATAATGGCAACATACGATATCATCGAGTGGAGCTGATTCAGCGAACCCATAAACTCTGCATGAGACAGAAAACTCATTCGACTGAGATGAAATCGGAGTAGGGAAATCGTTAAACATCGGATATACAGATCCTTGATTCGTGTTCACTGGGTTGCTACCAAATGAACTTCCACCTGATGGTGGTATAGTTGGGCAATACTCTGTGTGGAGATTTTGTGAATTGGGATTCCCAGAAATATAAGGACTTTGCATTTGACGTGCATAATCGATATTGAATGAGGTTGTACCTGGTAGATATGATGTAGCAGATGGATTATTGCCATAAGAAGGATTTGTATAACCTTGTTGGCTTGAAAATGGACCAGCTGAATTGTTCAGACTGTGGTCGGAGAAACTATCTTGTGCACTGACCGGTATCTGATTAAAATTTGTTTCTGATTGTCCAAGATACTCACTCATTTTAGATCCCATGTTTTCTTCCGTACATCTGTCTGTGCTTGAATCCGCTGAGCTTCCTGATGATGAATTAGGAGATGGTATTTCCGGACATCTCTTAGAAGTCATTGTCCGATGCCTTGTATGAGGATGTTGAGAATCGTTCCACTCAGAGCGATTAAAAGCATCCAAATCCATATGTCAAGCTGACTCAATTCAACAGACGATAGATTGATTTTTTTGTTAAGGTCACTAATATATTGAATTAGTTGGTTAAGATGAACATGTAACTGTAGGAGGATTGGTTAAACTAACCACATAAATATCAAACGACCTTCATAGTGTCAGAAGATTTTCATAGTCAAAACAAAACAAAACAAATATTTTAACGCATTTTTGTGTTAGTATCGTTCGGTATTGTAACTTTTGGACTATTCCAATAGGTTTATGAAAGTTTAAAAGTCTATCTAGTGAATAATAAGTTTATCAATGATTAACGAGGTTTGCTAACTCATTTGTGAATCGGACAATCGTTTCTAAATTTTATCAATGGCATGAAGATACGTATGTATATGACATGATTTATAGTTCTATTGTCAATTACCAAAACTTTTATTTATTTTACAAAATATAACGTTTATAAGTGATAAGACAATTATATTTTTCAAATGAAAATGATACTACTAAAATATCTAGGCTAAATATGTAGTCTAATGTAATACTTATTTGTAGTCTTGAGAGAACTAATGCTTCCTATAGGATTCGAACTAGCATTATCCAGCTTCACGGTATTTGACATTACTTCAAATCTTCACGAGGCAGTGTTAAACAATTTAATAATCACTAGTAAAATTTCTCTCAAAACTTCACGAGGCATTATACATTTTAGCCACAAATCACTTCACAAAATCTGTTAGGGATCCAAAATTTTTATAATAACTTGGTAATCTTGAGCTTAAAACAACAATTGAAAACCCTATTATTATTTATTCATGACATGACTTACTTACTTAATTACTTACGGCTGTTACTCCCAATGGAGCATATGCCGTCAACCAGCATTCTCCTACCCACTCTGTACTGGGCCTTCCTTCCTAGTTCTATCCAATTCTTGTTCATTCTTACCATGTCTGTCTCCATTTCTCGGTGCGAAGTGTTCTTTGGTCTTCCTCTTCTCCTTTAGCCTAGAGGACTAAATGTAAGGTCTTGCGTTGTGACACAGTTCGGTGCTTTCCTCAATTTGTGTCCTATCCACTTCCAGTACTTCTTCCTGATTTCTTCCTCCCCTGAGATCTGGTTTGTTCTCTCACACAGTAGGTTGTTGCTGATAGTGTCTGGCCAACGGATCCGAATTATTTTGCGTAGACAACTGTCAATAAACACCTGTATTTTCTGGATGATGGCTTTCGCAGTTCTTTGTATTTCCGCTCAATACAGTAGAACTGTCTTGACATTTGTATAGAAAATTCTGAACTTGGTGTTGGTTGACAGTTGCTTTGAATTCCAGACGTTATTCAGTTGTAAATATGCTGCTCTTGCTTTGCCGATCCGCGCCTTCACATGTTCATCAGATACACCGTGTTCATCAATGATGCCACCCAAATATGTAAAGGCTTTTTCGTCTTCTGAATCTTCTCCGTTAATTTGGATTCGATTGTTGCATGCTGTGTTGTATCGGATAATCTTTCTTTTTGCTGAGTCGGCTTTCGGAGAACTTCAACGGAGCCTGCAGAGGCCCGAACGGAGCCGAAGAGTCCTAGCCAGTCAGAACATGATGGGGCTTTCCAGAATTCCAACGTGGCGTGTTACTATTAATCGGTAGCATAATATGTCGTTAACGAATTAGCCGAAATGTGATGTTGATTTAACAAATGTTAACATCTATAAATACCCATGATTTTCTGTACAAAAGTGAACCTTGGAGAAAAACATTTCTCTCATACTTTGTGTCTTCTCTCTAGTGTTCAGGTCGCTGTGTAGTTCTAGCTTGCGGGTTACCAGAATAGCTTGGGAAACGAATATATTGTTCAATCGACAAGACTTATCACTTTTCCTTTTGTGTATATTGAGACCTACTGCTTCTGAGGCTGCTGCTATACTGGTCGTCTTCTCCTTCATTTGTTGTTGCGTTTGCGATACGAGGGCCAGATCATCTGCGAAGTCTAGATCGTCCAACTGCATCCTTGATGTCCACTGTATCCTGTGCCTCCCTTCAGATGTTGACGCCTTCATGATCCAGTCGATCACTAGGAGAAAGAGAAAGGGTGAGAGTAAGCAACATTGCCTAACACCCGTCTTCACTTCGAACGACTTTGTCAACTGTCCTCCATGCACAATTTTGCAGTGTAATCCATCATATGAGTTCTGTATGATATTGACTATCTTCTGAGGCACGCCGTAGTGTCGAATAAGTTTCCATAGTGTTGTTCTGTCCACGCTATCAAGTGCTTTCTCGTAGTCAATGAAGTTGATGTAGAGTGATGAATTCCATTCAATTGATTGTTCCACAATGATCCGTAGAGTTGCGATTAGGACTGTACACGACCTACCTTTACGGAATCCAGCCTGTTGGTCACGAAGTTGGGCGTCTACGCAGTCCTTCATCCTGTTTAACAATACCCTGTTGAAAACGTTTCCCGGTATTGAGAGAAGAGTGATGCGCCTGTAGTTACCACAGTTGCTGAGATCGCCTTTCCTCGGTATTTTGATCAGAAGTCCTTCTTCCCAGTATGTTGGTACTTGTTCCTCATCCTAAATCTTATTGAAGAGAATGTGGAGTATCCTCGCAGTTACCGCTATGTCTGCTTTCAGTGCATCTGCTGTAATCTTTCCTGGTTCTGCTACTTTGCCACTCTTGATTTGTTTGATGGCCATGCTGATTTCTTCAATTGTTTGTGGGCCAAAATCGATTGGGAGGTTCGTGGGTGCTGCTTCGATATTAGGTGGGTTCAGTGGAGCTGGTCATTTCAAGAGTTCTTTGAAGTGTTCTACCCACCTGTTTCGTTGTTCTCCAATGTTGGTGATTACCTCGCCTTCCTTCCTTTTCACTGGTCGTTCTGCTTTCCGGCGACTTCCAGCGAGTTTCTTTGTTATGTCATACAGTTCTCTCATGTTTCCTTCTCTTGCAGCCTTTTCCACCGTTATTGCTAAATCTTCCATATATTTACGTTTGTCGGTTCTGATGCTCCTCTTCACTTGTTTGTTTACTTCTGTGTATTCAGCTTGTGCCTTGACTTTCTCTGTTCTTGTTCGGCTGGTATTGATCGCTGCCTTCTTGTTCCTCCTTTCTTGAATCTTATCCAGTGTACCAACAGTGATCCATTCCTTGTGGTGGTGCTTCTTGTGACCCAGGACCTCATGACATGTTGAAGTGATTGCCTCTTTGATCCCATTCCAGTTGCTCTCCACAGTAGTTCCTTCTCCATTGAGTAGATCATGAAAGTCCTGGAACTTGTTGCTGAGGTCTATCTTGAATTTGTTGAGTTTGTTAGTATCCTGAAGAAAAGCCGTATTGAACTTTTGTGATATTGTCCGCTCCATTTTCCAGTAATTCCTGAGTTTTAATTTCATCTTGACGACCAGCAAGTGATGTTCTGATGCTATATCAGCTCCTCTCTTGATTCTCACGTCTTCCATTGTCCTCCTGAACATTTTGTCGATGCAGATATGGTCGATTTGGTTCTGCGTAGTGTGATCCGGTGAAGTCCATGTGATTTTGTGAATGCGTTTATGTGGGAATATGGTGCCGCCTATGATCAGTTTATTGAAGGCACATAGGTTTGCAAATCTCTCACCACTTTACTTCCTTTCTCCCATTCGGTGTCGTCCCATGATTTCTTCATATCCAGTGTTGTCCATTCCAACCATGGCATTGAAATCTCCCGTCAGAATGGTCAGGTCCTTCGTTGGGCACTTCTCGACGATTGACTGCGGCCTATCGTAGAATTGATCTTTAGCGTTTTCATTGTAGTCGTTTTTAGGTGCATAGCATTGGATGACGTTCATTGAAATGCCTTCTTTCTTTGTTTTGAAGGAAGCTTTGATGATCCTTGGTTCATGAGATTCCCATTCTATAAGTGATTTTTTGTGCTTGTTTGGACAGCATCAATGCAACTCCTTGTGTATGTGGGGCATTTTCTCCTTCATGGCCGGAGTATAACGGAAGTTCTCCTGAAGTTAGTCGTTGTTGTCCAACTTGCGTCTAATGTGCTTCACTGATCCCAAGCACCTCTAGGTTGTATCTCCTCATATCCGCAGCAATTTGGAAGACTCTCCCGGCCTCTAACATTGTACGAGCATTCTATGTACCTAAGTAAATGGTTGCTCTGGTTGTCAGAAGGGGCATCGGCCTCGTGATTTCCGAAGGCACTCGGCGTTCACCATGAGGCGTCATAACTCTTCTAAATGAAAACCTTCTGACTCCCAGCGTAGAGTTTAAAAGGTTTGAGTAATTTTTTCTGAATGGCGTTTTTTTAGCGAGTTAGTTTTCTACGAGATGGGGACACTAACCTTATGCACAACCCTCCTCCTTTATCCGGGCTGGGGACTGGCAGTAGCCCCCTGAGGGAGTCCAGGCAGATTTTCATGACATGACTGGCTAGTATCAATTTGGAATAGGTATTTCATTCACATTACTCAAGGATCTTCATTTAATCAAGCCCTATTAAATAAAAATAATTAATGGATTCATAACTATAGAGCCTAATGATGAAGCTATTGTACACATGTGTCCTCTTAAATGTTTCTTGTCTTATTGCGAATATTAATCTGGAAATATATGATGTAATAAATTGAGATAAATATCAAATAACTGTATTTCAGATAGTCACATGTAGTGAATATTATCCGAGTTAGTGAATACTATGAAAATTATCATTGTTCTAGACTACTGAAGATATTTACATACAGAATATTTTCTGGGAAATGTTTACATCTTAATAATCGTTCTCCATTAATTTTTTAAACAAACGTACTACTCAACGGTTATAAGTAACATGTACCTTTTTACAACAAAATAATAAAATAAATGGTAAATGTCACGTTCTGACTTACTTACTTACTCCTGTTACTCCTCGTGAAGGAGCATAGGCCGCTAACAAGCATTCTCCATTCAACCGTGTCCTGGGCAATCCTTTCCAGCTCCTTCCAGTTGTTATTCATCATTTCCATATCTGCTTTTAGTTCCCGACGTAATGTGTTCTTTGGCCTTCCTCTTTCCCGCCTTGCTTCAGGATTCCAAGTTGGGTTTGTCTCGTGATACAGTTTGACTATTTGCGTAGTATATGTCCTATCCATTTCCAGTCACGTTCTGAGATGCATAAATATACATTCGTTTAAGTCATTCAAGACTGTTGTGTTTTCAGACTGGCGGTCAGAATCATATTAAAAGCTACTAAACAGAATCCTGATTCTAATTGGGTCCATTAGGTATCTGTTACTGATCCAATAGCTTGGTATCTCTGACTTGACCAGTTAAATGTTTGTTGAGGCTAGTTTCCTCTATATCTGACTCCAATAAATGATATCCCGTTAACTGAGTATTTAAGGTA